AGGGTAACCTGCTATGAACTGGAATCTCGTCCAGAGGAAGAAAAAATACAGGGATGTACTCCCAGTCTCCTCATGCAAGATAAACCAGATTCAGCCCCAGTAATGCAAATGGAATGCATACAATTCTTTTGAGGCCATACAAAAATACATAGTCAATCTCACATTACCCTTTCACACTCACCTAATGTGAAAAACACCGTAATAAATATCTGAGTTCCACAACCCAACATGACAGACAATAACATTCCATTCTTTGGAGGGCGGAAGACATCTCCATGAACCAACTTCCAGCGAAACGTTTTCTGACAGCATACCACTGACTCCATCTGATTGTAGGGAGCAATGTCCTTGCGCAGAGTTCGCCGCATAATCAAGGCCACCATTCCCGACAAAAAGAGCACAATGACCAATGAATTCATGATGCTGAGGACAAAACATCACAACACCTATAAGATCACATATTAGAATGGATCAATACCATCAAGAGGGTTGTAGAATAAACATTACATCTTTGCATTCCTACCAGTGGAACTTACACAAGCCTCTGAGTTGAATCAAAGACTCTCTATGACATAATCTGCTGACAACTGTACATACATGCAGATTAGGCCTTTCACTCTGAAGAGAGACTATGAAGATGATTCATCTTGTATTGTCGATACATTATGAAGTAGAGAGATGATGGAAGGAAAGAAGCTTATCTACAAGGGGATATTGTTTGATTTTTATTTTGATGTTTGCATTTTACTTTATAATACAGCCACACATCACACCATCGGCAACATATTGAAACCCTGCTTTTATCAACTCATAGCTAACAACTGCATCTACAGTGTAACTGACTATTATTCACTTTTGTGCACCATTGCAGATAAACAACTCTGCTCATCTACTTGCCACAGTACCCCAGTATGTTAGTACATGTGGAGTATATCTTACCTAAACCACTGGATTTTTGTGTGTGGCATTGAATCAAGAATGTAGTCCCAACGGGATGCCCATTTCTGATTGGGATCAGTCTCTGGCTGCAAAATAAAATAAAATTTCCACTTCAGTACAAAAAAATACCATTGCAAGTACAATGACCCTGAGCCCTCCTTCACCAGAGTGAAATGCTTGATTTCATAGAATTACGGTCAGCTCGCCGACGGACCAACTCGCCGACGCCAACTCGCCGACGTATAAAATCGAGTA